TTTTAATTAATGACATTGAACAAGATAAAGACGCCCATTCCCACTGGTCTTATTTAATATAGTACTGAAGGTTTTAGCCAGAGCCATTAGGAAATGGAAAAACCAAAGGTATACAAATAATATTGTCAAAAAATCAAATTTTCCATTTGCAGATGATGATGATGTGACTTTAGTTATAGAAAAACATAAACACTCCACCAAAAGACTATTAAAACTGTTTTTTTATTTTTTAATTTTTATTATTTATTTAAAATAATCAAACAAGTGTGGATTGGAACAGAATTTTTTTTAACTATTTAATGAATATAAATTTCCAAAGTACAGCTTATGGATTACAATGGCTTCCCCCCCATAACGTCCCTCCCACCTGCAACCCTCCCCTTTCCCACTCCCTTTCCCCTTCCATTCACATCAAGATTCATTTTTGATTCTCTTTATATACAGAAGATCAGTTTAGCATACATTGAGTACAGATTTCAACAGTTTGCTCCCACACAGAAACATAAAGTGAAAAATACTGTTTGAGTACTAGTTATAGCATTAAATCTCAATGTACAGCACACTAAGGACAGAGATGCTACATGAGAAGTAAGTGCACAGTGACTCCTGTTGTTGACTTAACAAATTGACACTCTTGTTTATGGCATCAGCACACCCTAGGCTCTTGTCATGAGCTGCCAAGGCTATGGAAGCCCCCTGAGTTCACCGACTCTGATCATATTTCGACAAGGCCATGGTCAAAGTGGAAGTTCTCTCCTCCCTTCAGAGAAAGGTACCTCCTTCTTTGATGACCCTTTCTTTCCACTGGGATCTCACTCGCAGAGATCTTTCATTTAGGTGTTTTTTTTTTTTTCCCCTCGAGTGTCTTGGCTTTCCATGCCTGAAATACTCTCATGGGCTTTTCAGCCAGATGCACATGCCTTAAGGGCTGATTCTGAGGCCAGAGTGCTGTTTAGGACATCTGCCATTCTATGGGTCTGCTTCGTATCTCACTACCCATGTTGAATCATTCTCTCCTTTTTATATTCTATCAGCTAGTATTTGCAGACACTATTCTTGTTTATGTGATAGATTATGGGATATGTACTCTATACAATACTATACAGCAGTCAAAACCAACAAAACACGGTCATTTGCAACAAGATGGAGGAATTTGGAAAACATCATGCTGAGTGAATTAAGCCAGTCCCAAAGGGACAAATATCATATGTTCTCCCTGGTCGGCGACAAGTAACTGAGCACCAAAGGGGAAACTTGTTGAACTGAAATGGACACTATGAGAAACAGTGACTTGATCAGCTCTTGTCCTGACGGTTGATGTACAATGTAATACTTTATCCATTTTAGTATTTTTTGTTCTAGTATCATTGGTTGAACTCTGTAATTAACACACAATTATTCTCAGGTGTTTAAATTTTAACTGAAAAGTGATCCCTGTTAGGAATTTGGAAAACATCATGCTGAGTGAAATAAGCCAATCCCAAAGGGACAAATACCATATGTTCTCCCTGATAGGTGACAACTAACTGAGCACCAAAAAGGAAACCTGTTAAAGTGAAATGAACACTATGAGAAACAGTGACTTGATCAGCCCTTGCCCTGACTGTTGATGAACAACTTAATATGTTATCCCTCTTAGTATTTTTGTTTGTTTGTTCTACTTAATACTTTTGGTTGAATACTGTAATCAATACACAATTATTCTTAAGTGCTGAAACTTAACTGAAAAGTGAATGCTGTTAAATGTAAGAGTGGGAATAAGAGAGGGAAGAGATGTACAATTCGGGACATGCTCAAGCTAACTTACCTCAAACGGTAGAGTTAGAAACATACCAGGGGATTCCAATTCAATCCCATCAAGGTGGCATGTACCAATGCCATCTCACTAGTCCCAGTGATCAATTTCTGTTCACAATTGATCATAATGATAGGACTAAGAACCAAAGGGATCACATAAAACTGGTTTTAATATTAAATTTTATTCAATAAAATTACAGAATATAAAATCAACAAGAGCAGCTTTTTTGTACACTGATAACAAGCTTACTGAAGTAGAAATCAAGAAATCAATCCTCTTCATAATAACACACAGGAATAAATTTAATAAAGAAGTAAAAAGCCACCAAAATGAAAATTACAAGATACTCATAAAATAAATCAAAGAAGACATTAGAAAATGGAAACTCATCCCACATTCATGAATTATAAGAGTTAATACTGTTAAAATGACCATACTTCTGAAAGTATAATTTACATATTCAATGCTGTCTCCCACCAAAAACCAATGTTAATCTTACAGAATTAGGGAGGAAAAACAAGCAAAACTGAAATTCATGTGGAAAGACAAAAGACCATGAATAGCCCAAGCAATCTTGAACAAAAAGAACAAAGCCAGAGATATCACCATACCTGATTTCAAGACATACTACTATAGAGCTATAGTAACAAAAATTAGCATGGTTCTTAAACAAAAAAAAAGACATCTAATTCAATAGAACAGAATAGAGATCAGAGAAGTAAACCCCACTCATCTATTGCAAAATGATTCTCAACAAAGGGATCAAAAACATACACTGGGGAAAATAATCTTTTTAGTAAATGGTGTGGGGATAAGTTGATATTCACTTGCAGAAGACCGAAACTTGAATTCTGGGACAGGTGTTGTGAAACATTAGGTTAAGTTGTCACTTGAGACACCTGCATCCCATATTGAAACGCCAGTTTAAATCCCCAGTTCTTCCAATTCACATGTAGCTTCTTGTTAATGTATGGGAAAGGCAGTGGATGGTGGCCCAAGTGCTTAGGTTCCTGCCACACAATAGGTGACCTGGATGGAGTTTCTGGCTCCTGGGCAAAGGCTCTGAATAGACATTTCTCAAAAGAAGAAATTCAAATGATCAGAAAATACATGAAAAAAATACTTAATGTCAATTGCCATCAGCAAAATGCAAATCAAGCCATAATGAAATAATCATCTTAGAATGACTATTACAAAAAAATCCAAAGATAACAAATGCTGGAGAAAAGGTAGAGAAAGGAAGATTTATTTATTTGAGAGGCAGAGAGATATATATGGGGGAGAGAGTGAGCAAGAAAGTGCTCCCATATATTGGTTTACTCCCCAAATGTCTGCAGTGATTGGGCTTGGGCTGAGACCAAAGTTTGAAGCCAGGGAATCCACTGTGTCCCAGAGTTGTGATTAAGAACTTCCAGTTGTGGACAAGAAGAGCTAAGTTCTGTACTTTGAAAGCCAATATGTAATAGACGCCAGCTAGATTCCCACAGGACTTGTTAAGAGGTGAAAAGTATATACCATCCATTGCCAACAGTGATTAAGAGGACTGGGGAGAGAAAAGGGAATCATCAATCTTTTAGAGTGTATTAGTTGAGAGAGTTGCTAACTGTTGAAACTAACTACCCCCATATTTTGGTAGATTAATGTAATAAAATTTTATTCTTCATTCATGTAATTGAACAATTTGGGTGTTCCTGGGTTGGATGTTTTTCCTTCAAACAGACTCATTCCAGCGAATAACTTTGCCATTATTAGAACATGACAGACATCTAGACTTGTCCTAAGAGTCATCCCTGTTTCAGTCCTCCAGAAAAGAAGAACATGGACAGTTACACACAGGAAGGTTTTATGGACTGTATCAGTTTGCCAGGGCTGCCATAATAAAGTATCACAGTCAGGGAGGCTTAAACAACAAAAATGGATTCTTTTTGTTTTCTTTTCCTTTTTTTGTTTTGCAGTTCTAAAGGCTGGATGTCAGAGATCCAGATGTTGGCAGGTTTGACTTAATTTGAGAGGACTCTGCTTGGCTTGCAGATGGCTGCCTGCTCATCATGTCTTTATGTGATCTTTCCTCCGCATACATACATCCCTGGTGCTTCTCTGTTTGTCTAAATTTCCTCTTCTATACAACAGCACCAGTTAGATTGAATTAGGGCCCACCCTAATGGCCTTATTTCAACTTACTAACCCTTTTAAAATCCTTATATCCAAGTATGGTCACATTCTGAGATAATAGGAGTTACAACTTAAATATATGAATTTAAAGAAATATAATTCGGCCCATAACATAGTGCAAGTCTAGGTATACTTTGCTTTCACTTGATAGACTCTGACTAGAAGTCAGGTTATATCTAAATGCCAAGGGACCTTGCTGTTCCTCAGGGCAGGCATGGAGTCCTGAGGGTAATGGCCGCCTCAGCTGCAGCCTACATGGCCCCGGCCTGACCCGGGGCACTGGGTCTCCCTCAGGCTGGGCCAGCAGCGTCCAGGACGGCTCCTCAGGGCCTGCGCTGGCTCTGGGCAGGAGCGAAAGTGGTGCTCACTCCCACCTGAGCACCGCGGGGCAGAGCGGCCATGCGTGCAGATGCACTTCCAGGTCCAGCGCCTGGCGCAGGCGCACTGCACGCGGGCAGCCACCATGGGGTCACATGATGCATCTGCGCGCTGCCGCATCAGGCATCTGATGCCCCAGAGCCCCGTCCAGTCCCGCTGCTCCAGGCTGTGACCCAGGGAGGAGCCGCTGAGGGCCCAGGTCCCTGGGACCCAGCCTCCCTCCCTCGTGCGAATCCTGATGGAGCTCCTGCCGCCTGGCTTCTGCCTGGCCCAGCGCAGGCCATGGCAGCCGCGTGGCAGAGGAGCAGTGCGTGAGGTCGCCAGCCTCTTTCTCTCTCTGAGAGGGCATCCGTCTGGGTCCCCCCCACCCCCCAGGGGGCTACAAAGGCCAGGGCTGGGCCAGGCCGAAGCAGAATCAGGGCTTTTACCCAGTACTCCAGGGTGGGGTCAGAGGCCTAAGTCCTGGGGCCGTCTCCTCTGCTTTCCCAGGCGGGATCCCAAGGGGACCGGCTTCGGGGAGGGCCGGGCTGTGGGGTAGCGGGTAAAGCCCCCGCCTGCAGGGCCGGCCTCCCATATGGGCGCCTGTGTGAGTCCCGGCTGCTCCACTTCCGATGCCGTGCTCTGCTAGGGCCTGGGAAAGCAGCATGAGATGGCCCAAGTCCTTGGGCCCTGCACCCACTCAGGAGGCCCGGGGAGGCTCCTGGCTCCTGGCTTCGGATCTGCTAAACTCCGGCTGCTGCGGCCTATTGGGGAGTGGGCCAGCAGATGGAAGACCTCTCTCTCTCTCTGCTTCTCTGCCTCCCTGTGTGTAACTCTGATTTTTAAATAAATAATTAAATCCTTTTTAATAAAAGTAAAAAATAACAAAGGAAGACATAGCTATAAATTAAATACAACATCAAGGCCAACTACTAGAGTGTATTTAAAATTGGATACTATATACATATATAATATACATAGCACACTATTAACACAGACTTTTAAAAAGAATTTAACTCAGTCTTTAAAAACATTTTGGTACCCGTTCATTCTCTTCTTCCTTACAAACGTGCTGTGTGGGATTATTTTTGACTTACACATGAAGTAATCTTTGTCATCTATTTATTCAGACACTTATGTACCCACTTACACAAGGACTAGACATACCCGTGCTCTACAAAGTTCTCAACTGAACACAGGTCTGCCCTCCATAGCCTAGCCCTGCATTTAACATAGGGTTCATGTTTTAAAAAGGACAAATCCTGTGTCCCACAAACAAGACAAAATACATAAAGGTAGCAATCAGGATTCACTGTTGACATTTTCTATGCGGACGTTATATTGTTGGTATTTTTATGTCATTTCTCAATGTCAGAATACAGGTTAATTTTAATTTTGCTGATTAACTGATTCATGGTTATACTGGAAGGTGGGAGTCTTTGGATATTTAGACAGTTGGAAATTTCTAAACTTAAGGATTTTGTAATGTATATTAAACAGTTACATATTGTATTTTTAAAAATGTATTCCAGGAAAGTTGGTATAGAAACTTATTTGCTAGGAATAATAAATAAATAGGTATATATATTCACACATATGTACAGGTATATACATGAATATACACATGTATTCACACGTGAGTACAGAAATATGCACATACAGACATAGGATTGCCCTCCCCAAACACCTGACTCCAGAGCTTGCTGGTCACCATCACTTGACCAGAAGGCTCAGGGAAGACCTGATGGAGGAGGAGGTCTTGGTCCCAAAGCAGGAGATGAAACTGGAGCCCCACAGATGGTTTGGCCTCAGCAGCTGGTCCTGGGTACGGGCAGCTAAATGGCGGCCCCAGGTGCTGAATGTGCCAGCAGCTGAGACTGTGGCACTACCAGAGCAGACCACTGCGCAGAATGGCCAGGTCATGAGGAGGACCCCTGGGCATTTCTGTGCCAGCAGAGACCACAGGAGAGGGTCCCAGACGTCCTGGCCCAGGGCCAGCAGCATGGGCACCAGGGGGGACAGAGTCCCCAGGCCCTGGCATGAGGCTGTGATGGCCCTGTGCATCCCAGGGCCTCCAGGACACCTCCAGCAGATAGGAAGGGCTGTCGATATGAGGAGCAGGTGTCCAAGGAGGGAAAGGTAGATAGGGACAGAGGAGCCCAGCTCTGACTGGATGCCGCTGTCCCAAGTCCCTCAATGGCTGGCCAGGCTCAGGGCATCCAAGCGGTATCCAGGTGGCCACGTCTTCTTCCGACAGAACATAGGGGCCCCTGCTCCCCAAAATGGGTGAGCAGTGCACACCCACTGTCCTGACACCCAGTCAGGAGGCCTGGGTGTCGGAGGTCCTTGCTGAGAGCCCAGCCACCCTTCTGACCCTGCTATCTCATCACATGCCCATGATACTTGTGGAACTCATGGTGTGGGGACACCTGTGTGTTGACCTCAGTGTCCCCAGACTGTTGGGAGTGGCAGAGTTTCCGGCTGCTTATTGATTCCGACCTTACCCTGTGCCGGCTCTGCCCAGTGTGCAGAGACTTCAGGCCGCACCCCTGCCCTGGAACTGAGGCCATCCTGGGCATCAGCACATGAAGTGAGAGCTGTCTATGGGGAGCCCCAGAGTTGTGGAAGGGGAAGTAGTACATGGAGAGTCCTTGGCTTGGGCTGTGGTGCTCCTTGGACACATGGATGCCAGGCTCAGGGAGGAGCTTCCTTGCCGAGGGCAGGGGAGGCAGCCAGGGGCTATCCCTGCCCAACTGTCCCTAGTCCCTGTGCTCTTGACAAGTCATACTCCTGGGACCCGGCCACCAGGTGCCCACCCACCTGGATGTGGGGCTGTCCCCGTTCTGATCGGGGGACAGACCTCTGGGCAGCAGTTCCTGAGGGCTCCACTGTACAGGTTCACGTTTGCATGAACAGCACTTGAGCTGTGTCCATAGGATCTAGGCACCAGCCGAGCAGGGGGGCAGTTGTCCAGCAGGTGCCTGGGTCTCTGGGGCCAGGCCTGATGCTTACTAAGACCTAGCCTGAGGGAAGGCCATGGGTGTGGCATCTAGGGCTCTGGACCTGCCTGTGGGCATGCAAAGTACAGACCCCACCATGGGAGCGGGGTTGCTGCAGCTGAGGGCCCTGCTCCCGGGTCTGTGCTGGGAGGAGTGGGGCCTATGGGCAGGAGTCACACGTGGAGGCTGTACCCACAGATGTCAGGGAGAGAGGCCTCATGGCACCTAAGGCAGCCAGTGCACAGGGAAGAGGATAGGCAGGGGGACGTGGGGGTTGTGGTGGTCCCAGGTACCTGGAGCCCCAGGTGCACTCACAGCACTGAGCATCTCTCAGGAAGGCCACCGGACTCGTTCAGTTCCAGGGTGACTTCTTGGGGAGAGCTGGTGTGGGGACACAGCTCCCTCAGCCCTGGGCAGCCTGGCCCTGCTCAAGACAGCAACCCCCAACCGATGTGGGGGTGCTGCCACACACCCAGATGGTGGACCCCTGAAGGCCTAGTGCCCCCACTGGCACCAAGGGCCCCTTCCTTTCCACCAGCCCCTCCCTTTCCGTCTCAGTGCCCTGGGCTGAGATGGTTGTGGGATCATCCTGTGAGGCCCGGGCTTTGTGGGATATGGGGCGACGGCCTTCTTTACAAGAAGCACTGGAGACAAGTTTCAGTGAACATATCCATTTTATTAATGATCAGGCACACCTCTTAAAGGGCAGACAGAAGGGGCGTAGCTAATTCAGGGCAACACTAAGTCTATAGGATAGAGCCAATATTGGCCCTGCTAGGCTCCTCCATCAGCTTGAAGGTCACATAGACTGGAGCCTTCCCGATGGGCCTGGGCCACACCCGGAAGTATTTCCCTGATAGGCAATTACAGGGCCCTCTAACAGGCAGCAGGGTGGGGGAAATGTGCCTGTGGCTTCTGCTGCCTGCCAGCAGTCAGGCTCATCTCCTGCATGGGCTGGGCAGGCAATCCCCCAGCTAGGGGCAGAATCACCCACATCACCCTGTCTGTATGGACAAAATCTCTGCCAGTAGTATAGCCTTTCACTCAGCCAGGCCCATCAGGCCCCAGGCCTTTAATCCACTTCCAAAGAGGAGAGCTTAGTCTGACTGGCAGGTGGGTGTACAGATGTGGTCAGGTAGGGGCATGAGGGCGTGGTCTTCCAGCTCACAAACCTAATCCTATATGCCCGCCTACATCACAGCCCCTTCAGAGACTCCAGTCCCTTAATCCTAAGGGATGCTGAAGGCTGTAGAATCATCACATCTTCTATAGCTGCTTCCTGCTTATGAGGGGCGTAGTGCAGGCCCTGCCTTGCTGGGGCTGGGAGTCTCTGCCTAGCTCATCCAACAAGTTTGCTTTGTGAGCTGGAGCGGTCTCCGTCCCTGCCAATGTCTGTGTCCCCTGCATGGTCAGCTACTCCCAGAAGTTAAGTTCTGAAACAGATAAGTTTGTTAAGTAGCATAACAGAAGTGGAACAAGACCAATTGTGAGCCCAGTGCCCCGTAAGATGGAAAGAATGTACCGTACAGACTCCCACATAGTGGGTGGTGACAGATTATAAACTCATTTCACTTGAGCGTAGAGGATTACAATAGAAAAACACATGAGGACTTGCATGTCAGTAGCAGCTCCCAGAGAGAATTGAGAGAGGCAGGCACAGGTGTCTGAAGGGACAGCAGCACTCTTGATGTGAGGAATGTCAAAGCTTTACTCTCTTTGCTGAAGGCCTCTACTTGGCTTACAGGAATAATCAGGTGTGTCTTTTGGAATTCACCTGAGAAGACTTAAGAGGTAGAAGTTTCATCCTAACCTCACTGGGGTGGGTGTGCTCAGTAGCGCCTGGTAGTCCCTTCCATGTAAGCTATAACTGATCTGAAGAGGATCTTTCCATGAATGCCCTCCTCAGGAATTCCTAATGTTGGAATTTTGTTAGCAGTGCCTTCGTTCCTTGGAACTCCTTTTGCAGCTCCCCGTCCAGCACAGTGTGTCTGCCTCAGGGCCTTTTAAAGCCATCTACAGAAGCGTGGAGTCCACATCACGGGATCCGTACTCTACAGAATCTTGCCATTCCCAGAAATATTCTCAGCTGTTTTGTGAGTCTGCGAAGGTCAAACATATGTAACATAGCTTCCCCTCTTTGACTGAGAGAGCACAGCTTTTTGCAGTCAGATCACATGCTGGGGAATCTACCTCCAGTTTAGATCCCTGAGATTTGGGAAGTTCTGGATCCTCACTAGCCCAGACTTCGAGTTGAGTGGGATACAGAAGAAACTGTCCCATACGCAAAGTTTAGCAACACAGCAAGATGCATTGAAACGGCCGTCTTCTCCGTATCCCTGAGGCCTTTAACCACTCAGTACTCTGTATTCCACCCTATGTTATACATACAAGACAGGACTATGAGAGAGAGACATGGGTCTAAGAGTTCACATTGGAGACACTTAATAAACTTTAAGGAAATGCCTAAGAATACAGGCAATGGCATTTAGCACTTAGACATAAATAGAACCCATGACACCTGAGAGTGTAACACACTACACAAGGGAAATCTTTGGGAACGAGTTTTACCATTAATGCTAATGCTGTAGCTCTCTGAGGACAGAGGTCCTGCAGGGGAAGTTAGCACACAGTGACCCCTGCCGTTCATGTAACAATTAACACTCTCATGCAGGAATCAGTGAGCACCCAGGCTCCTACATGAGCTTCCTAGGCTATGGAAGCCTTTTGAGTCCTCAAACTCTGTCAACATTCAGACAAGGCCACAAGCAGAGTGGAACTTCTCTCCTCCCTTCAGAGAAAAGTACAGCCTTCTTTGATGACCACTTCTTTCCACTGGGGTCTCGCCCAGGGAGGTCCCGCATGTAGGAATACTTTCTGCGCGAGTGTCCCGGGTTTCCATGCCTGAACTGCTCTCCTGGCCTTTTCAGCCAGACCAGGATGCCTCGAGGGCTGACTAGGGGGTCACTGAGCGCTACATCCAGCACTGCCACTCTAGGAGTCTGTGGGACAGACTCCTTCCCACGTTGGAGCATTTACTCCTCTTTAATCCTATTCATTAATAGCAGTAAATACTTAATCCTACTGACAGGATCACTTTGTCACTTTTGCCGTCTAGCCCAAGGGGATTTGGGACCCCACTGCTAGGTTTAAAACTGTACCCTTAGAAGGAGGTCCGCAGGAATCCACGCAGGAATCCACAGCTTTACAGTTCCTTTGTAGGACCTGAGAAGACATAAACAGACACAGCTCTCTGCGAGCTTAATTATCCTTAAGCATTTGACTTGGATGCATTGCATTAGTTAGAATTCCTTTAACACTGGACCAAGCGATGTTTGTTCTGTAATACAGATACTACGAATTTCTATATAGATCACTCTAACAATCAGGTGTTCAGTATACGACAGGCCCTGGGAGCCAGCAACGTGGGGCAGAGTCTGTTGCCCATCTTCTTCATGCTGGGGTGGAGCATCTGCCATGTTTGATGCTCCGCCTCCCTGATGCTAACATGTTTCCAGGCAACCAAATCAGTTCTCCAACCTGGAATAACTGAAAGCAAGCTCGATTTGAAAATCAAAAGCCCAGGAACAGAGCTGAAATTCTCAGAACCTTTGTAAGCATCTGAGTTCTCCTGTTTCTGTTTTGAATGAAAAATTCTACAAGCCATGGAGTACCTGTGGCTTAGTCACTGCCCAGGCAGGGCTCCCTCCTCCCTCGGGAAATTCACCTGGATCGGGGGAAACCCTATGAGTTCTAACAGGCATTCTGGGACTTGCTTGGTCGCTGCATGCACCCGAGCGGGCCGAACCTGGGAGAGGAGGGTCCAGGGTTTGGGATCCCACCTCTGCTTCCTCACTCTCCACCACTCCCCCTGGTGCATAAATGCCAGGGTGCCCAACCTGGGCTTCCCTGGAGTGCATATATGCCAGGGCGCCCAACTTGGGCTTCCCTGGAGCGCCAGAAGGCCCAGCCCGCAGTGCTGTCCCAGCTAGGACCAGGCACCCAGGGCAGCCGCGCTTTCCCATCAGAGCTCCCTCCCCCAGCCATGGTCCCAGCATGGACCCATCAGAGCTCCCGCCCCCAGTCACGATCCCAGCATGGAGCGCAGATAATGGACAGGGTGAAAGATGTCCACATGGGGAGCCTACAACCATGGCAGAGCTCCCTAGAATGGGACGGTATTTCCTCTCTCCTAGCAGAGGGGGCCTGGGGCTGGTACACGGTGAGGGGTCCTAGAATGGGACAAGTGCATCCTCTTCAACTAGCAGAGAGGGACTGGGGGCCTGACCACAGATGATGCCTCCTCATCTAGCAGGGAGGGCCCCACCCTCGCTCACCGTATACGTTCAGGTCCCTGTTTGGGCACCAGCTGCGGGCTCGTCCTGTGAGCCACACACTGTGGGATGGTGGGGCAACAGCGTTCTTCCACAAGCACCAGAGACAAGATTGGCGATCGTGCCCGTTTTATTAATGATCAAGCACACCTCTTAAAGTGCAAGCAGAAAGGGCATAGCTAGTTCAGGGCAACACTAATTGATAGGCTAGAGCTGATGTTGGCTCTGCTAGGCTCCTCCAATCAGTGTGAAGGTCACATAGGCTAGAGCCTTCTTCATGGGCCAGGGCCACACCCGGGAGCAGTTTCCCTGATGGGCAATGACAGGGCCCTATACCAGGCAGCAGGGGCGGGGAAATGTGCCTGTGGCTCCTGCCACCTGCCAGCAGTCTGGCTAACCTCCTGCACAAGCTAGGCAGACAATCCAAAAGCTAGGCATACAATCACCCACAGATAATGAAACTGGTTCCTCCCTGACCCACTAGGGAGGCAGAAGTGTCTGATCAGGGACCTGTCCACACCTCTCCGCTTCCCTTGCTTTCCAGTGAGCAGAAGTTGCCCCAGGACAGCACCCCGGGGGCAAAGGTAAAGACAAGCCCTTGGCCATGGGCCAGTCATCTGGAAGCAGAGCTGGGTGGAGGGGGCATGTGGGGCTCAGCAGTGGTTACTGTAACCCCATAAGGTACTGCGATGCGGTACTTACACGGCACCTGCTGACACCTGAACACACTCACCTGTCCCAGAACTGAGCCGCAGCTCAGGGGCATCTGCCTGTCGGCCGCCATGACTCATTGGCATGGTTGGGAGTGACCTGGCTGGAGCTCAGGGGCTCTGCCTTGAGGCAGGGGCAGCTTGGGTCAGAGGCCAGGCCACCGACGCTCCCCAGACAGAAGACCTGGGGCTCACGGTCTATGTCTTTTCTGGTTCCTTCCTTTGAGTGCACACAGAGCTCCGGAGCTCCATCTGAGGGCCACTCTCAGAGCCTGAAGCTGGGCTCACACCATCCTGTCTTGTTTTCCAGCACAAACAGGTGCACAGGATCCAGAAATGGGTGAAAATGATAAAGAATCATAGCAAATACCGCGGCAGCGAGAAGGTACCGTGGAGCTGAGGGCCCCTCGGGAACACTGAGAGCTGAGTTGGGGTTTGAGCAGTGCCCATTCCCATGCCAGGCACCGCCTGCCTCTCAGATGCCCAGGGGCAACTGTCCAGCCCCCAGGGACACAGGTCATGTGCACCCCTTCCCCATACACACAGGACACTGTCCTGGTAGAAAATCTGAAGTCACTGCTGAAGACAATCCCGGATGCAGGGCAGGTGTGGTTCCAGGAGCCCTGTAGGGGGCAGTCAGTGCACGGTGCAGCCAGTGCCCCTGACCCTTGGTCCCCAGTCACTGTGGGTCATAAGACCCCTTCTGGGCAGATCCTCCCTCTGCCAATACACACGGAGCCCCTGGCTTCTCCCTCCCCAAGTGGCCACGTGCACCACTCACTGGAGGCTCCTCTTTCCTGCAGTTTCATCGAAGAGGCTGTAAAGGAATCCCTGCCCAGGTATGGGAAGGTGTGGGCCCTGATGCTGGTCACCCACAACAAGAAGGCTGAGAATCCGGGCAAATAAAGGTACAGCTCTACACTCAGCCCAAGGGGGCCCGGCCTGCTCGGGCCTGGTCAGGAGCCTGAGCCTCCGTGGTCTGGTCACTGGGCCCTCAGGAACCTCCTCCCTATCCTGCCTTCTTCACATCTCCCCAGACCCAGCTGGGCCATCTTGGCTTCCTGCCCGGGGACTGGCCCTTCCTTCTCTCTGCTGAGCTCATCTGGGCAGCTTGCCACAAGAACAGCACACAGGAATTGCTGGTCCATGATGGGTGGCGTCTCCCAAATTGAGATCACAATGGTGTGTTGAAGTGACCCTCTACAGGCTCTGTGCTCACAGGGCCTGCCCACATCTGCCACTGCTTTCACCTGACTTGCTCCCCCTGGCCTTGCCCTTGCCTGGAGTGGCTTGTCTAACAGTCACACTCAGCTCTCAGCTGCTTCTGGCAATGCAGATGGCTCTCATGACGCCGGCTGCCATCAGGGAGCAGGGCCCAGCTGTGTGGCCAACCCTGTGCTCCCCGAAGTCTTGAGACTGGGGCTGGCCCTGGGAGCTGGGCCTGAGGACAGTCATTGCCCAGGGGCAACTCAAAGCCAAGGGCGGTTTCCAATGTCTTGCTATTGATGGGCCCCTCCAGGAGGGGACAGCATTCACCACTGGTCTGGGTGTAGCAGGGCCTGAGATGCAGGGAGGAGGATCTGAAGCCTGGCTGGGGTGCAGACTGATTCTCTGCTGAGAAGTGCTGAGGGCAGGCAGGGGGAGTGCACAGGGACCTTCAGAGCCCCTGTCTCATGCAGACAATTCGGGGTCTCAGTGGCCCCTTCTGCAGGGATCCTGGGCACTGGGGGGACGTCAGCCAGAAGAGTTGCTGTGGATTGGAGAAATCTGTGGCAATGGGGCTTTGCTGCTCCTGAGGCAGGCCCCTCCCCCTTGCCCCGCCCTGCAGGAGATGAAAGAACAGGACAGGCTGTACCCAAACCAATTCCAGCAGATCCACTCCACTGTTACGGGGACTTCAAGAAGTCACCTGATGCTCAGAAAATGATATGGAATCAAGTGAGGCCTCGGGGCCTCAGGGCCTCGGGGGTGGGGTGAGCAAGGGTCCCTGGGACAACTGGGGTTCCTAGGAGAGACTCACATACAAACCTAGAGCAAAAATCCCTTTTGGAAAAAAAAAATGGGGCCATGGGCCTTTTTTATATCATATAAACTTTCCAAAAGACACTGTGGGAGAGGATGAAATGAACAAACACAAGAGGAGACAACATTAGCAATCTATCTAATAAAGGTATTATTTCCAGACCATTCAGAGAGCCCTTCAACTCACTAACGAGGAAGCAGTGCACAGCCTCCCGGCGCCCCGGGGACACGGGCTCCTAGGGCCCCTTCATGAAAGCACACACAATTCACCTCCTCAACGCATGAACACACGCTTAGTACCTGAACCACAGTGGGGCACCATGCACAGCTGTGAGAACTGGGGATCTGAAATCACAGAGGATGCCGGGTGCAGGCGTGTTACCTGTGTTACTGTTGAATCCTAAAATGGGATTCAGAGAGAGGCAGGACAAGGCTCGGGCCTGGGCTGACCCGGATGCATCTCGGGTGCATTCTGCTAAGAGAGGAAGCGTCCCTCTAAGACTACACATGCTGTGATCCACTCATACGACATCTGCAAGAGGCCGTGCCCTGGGACAGAGAAGAGGACAGTTTGGCCTAAGGAGGGGGAGTTTGGGAAGTTTTGTCACTGAGGGCCCGTGGGCAGCTCATAGGTGACGGGATTGCTCCCTACGAGGCTGCAGTGGTGCATGGGAGGCTGACTCTCCATGGAGTGAGACCCACGGGATGGTACCTCCCTCAGTGGACGCCCTCCTGTGCAATCTGAACACACAGCTCGGGAAGTGAAACTGCACACAACTGCATCCCTGAGATGTGTGCATGTCATTGCAGGCAGCGCTCACCCACACGGTGGACCACACGCAGGTGCCCTGACGACATCACAGGCCCTGTGTGTGGCTGTGAGGCTCTGTTAGGCAGAGCCACACTGAGCCTCGGCAGCACAGGACGCACAGCCTCTGTCCCCTCTCTTCCAGCCAACGTGCCTTATACCAAGTGCTCATGGCCTATTCTGTTCATAATCACTTGAGTCTTCTGGGATCATATCACAGGTGCTATCCTGCTCACAGAGATCCCTTTCTGGTCTGAGCAGTCTCTCTACTCCACAACTCAGACAGAGAGGCAGAGGCCAGGGTCATGGCCTTCTTGGATAGAACTCAATTCTGTGAACAGAAGGGCAGCC